AGGAGACACAGTTTATCAGGAGAGGATTTTTATAAGTAACAACTCAGAATAAAACAGGAGTAATAACTTTCCTTCCCTTTTTTAAAATGTAGTGAGTAGAAAGGATAGACAATTGTGTAAAAATGTAATGAGTAGAAGTAAAAAGTACGCTGAAAAATAATTACTCAAAGTACAGATAATCAAAACTTCTACTTAAGTACAGTAACAAAGTATTTGTAGTTAGTTACTTTACAGCTCTGCTGAAATGAGTTTTCTACAGGGTAGCCTGGGTTTGAGTTACAGTTAGAGACAGGGGGAGAAGTTTAGTTGCTGACAGCACCTCCTTCTGGTGGAGACTTTCTACGTCTTCCAGGACTTGCTTGGACCTCCGCTTTTCTGTTTCCAGACGATCTGTCAAACACAGTAAATATGAGTTTGGTTGTCGTGTGAAAACATGTAATTCTCTGAGCATTTGTAACAAGTATTACCTTCAGTCTGTGTTAGTCGCATCTTGAGCTCAGCTGTGCTGTTAGTTAATTTCTGCTTCAGCTCAAAGATCTGCTGCTGCTGAGACTTACACCGACGCTCCGTTTCCTCCACCTGGCATATATCTGTTACTCATGTAATACCTACTTTCATATGCATTAATATTCACAGTGCAAATGGTTTAAATTCACATCTATTCATTATATACCCACTCATACCTTATTTCTGAGCTGACCATTGCGTTCCATCAAGTTCTGAATTTCTCTCTGGAGTTTTCCCTCTCTGAGTGCACTTTCCTGCAGGACACAACTTTTCTGTCAGTTTCAGACATCAGAAGTTTTTTGACAAGTATCAAAGAGAAAAAATAAGACTCATTAGATGTACTTAATACACCTTCTGGAGTAAACCTCAATACTCCTTTTGCACATTACAAAGCAGGCATGAAACAAACGTTTTGATTGGATGGTGAAATGCCACCACAGCTATTGTTCCTGCAAAAACCAGAAATGAGGGCGAATGTACTTTGAAAGGGTGAGGTGATGATATCGAGTTGTAAAGTCGATGTGTAGTTTTGGAAAATTGTGGACAACCGATGGGCAAAATCCCTGAAAAAGTGTGCCGCGGATCTGAGAATATGTCATTATGAAGCAGCTGTAGTGTGTGTGTGTGTGTGTGTGTGTGTGTGTGTGTGTGAGTGTGTGTGAGTGTGTGGTGGGGTGGGGGGGGTTAAAA